CTGGTTTCTGACTTTTTGGCAAAGCCCTGCCAGGCTGTTCGCACGGCTCCACCCTGGCGCTTTCCAGATCTCTTCTTATCGCTGCAAGTCACTTTGACAAGAACCTCCCATCCATTTGCTGAACAAGCCCCCCACATTTGACATCGCCCCACGAAACCCACACATTCCTGATTATGGTTCGTGCTCTGCAGAGCTCTCTGCTCCTCCTGCCCCCGAACAGGAGACAAATGCCCCTGGGGACTCATGGGGACACTGAGGCGCTGCCAAGGAGTGACTTGGAGGCATTTCTGGGACCAGGGAAGGTGCTTTCCTTCCCTGTGATTCCAAGGGACATCTGGTACTGACTTTACTGGACTCTTAATATTACTGCTTAGCTTCTCGTGGGGAAAACAAATTATTTCTCGAGTAAATATCAGTGCACTTCCACCGAATTCAGGGCTCACTTCCAAAGCTGCAGGCATAGAAAGAGGCCAGCAGCTGCGGAGTCACGTACTCGCTGTCCCTGCACAGCCTCTTGCTCCCAGGAGCTGGGCTCTCCGAGGAGGAAGAGGGGACATGTGTGTCCCCCTGCATGTGAGGGTTCCCCTGGACTTCACCGGTCCACAGCCTGTTCCCCAGAACTTCCTGACCCACGGCCCTGCCGTGATGCCTGGATGTGGGAGCATCCTGGCTTCCTGCAACACTGAGGGGGTCCCAGCTCTCTGCCCTGCGTCTGCGGGTGCTTGTGGGCATGAGCATGGGCTGCAGCGCTCGCCCGGGTGCTGCATGGGGCTGCAGAGCTGCACCTGAACCCGCTCACTGGCAGCTGCATCAGTACCACTTCCAAAAGGGCCTGGATTGCGCATCTTGCTGCTCTGAACACTTTAAGTAAAAGGTTTAATATGAAATAAATGCCACCATGGTGACAAAATCAGTATTGTTCCCAAGGAAGGAGGAACAAGTGCTGGCCTGGATGCCTGGATGCCTGTTTGGAGATCATGTTACTGCAGATCCTGAAGGGGCCGGACACTCTGGGGTTCACACCTGAGTGTTTATTGAAGCGTCCCGGCAAGCTGCCACTTGCCGTTTCCTT